AAAAAAAAAAAGTGGGGGGGGGGGGGTCAGCAGAAAAAAAAACTATATCAGAGACAGACAAATTTCCCCTGAGTATTCAAACTGAACAGAGGGAGAAGAAAAGAAAACAGACGAGCCAGTGAATGGCTATGAGCCTGGCGGTAGCACAAACAGGTCTCCTTCAGAGAAGGGGGGGGGGGGGGGTGGTCAGCAGAAAAAAAAACTATATCAGAGACAGACAAATTTCCCCTGAGTATTCAAACTGAACAGAGGGAGAAGAAAAGAAAACAGACGAGCCAGTGAATGGCTATGAGCCTGGCGGTAGCACAAACAGGTCTCCTTCAGAGAATACCCGCTCTGGCCAGATAATAACAGAGAGGGGGAGAAAAAAAAAACAAAACATAAAAAAAAAAAAAAAAATCTCTGGCTTTGGAAAGAGGAACTGATGAAGCATCTGCAAAGACTTGGCATAGAATCTCAAGGCAGCCAGTCAAGGCTTTATACAGTGAAGCCAAGATGGAGGGCAAACAGAGGGGATCCTTCCCGGAGATGAGCCTCCGTCAGAGGCGCTCTATCTGACGACAGGAAACAATTGTTCCTGTTTGTCTCTCGCAAGAGGTAATGAAAGGGCAACACAGTTAACCAGGAAGGACCGACTGTACCGTAGAGTATACACCGGTAGTAATATATACAGTGCAATATCTGTGCGTTGTAAAAATTGTACACTTGAGTGAAACTCAAAACTGGTGAATTACGTGACTAATTTGAATCACTCCTTAAGGGTTGAGGGTGAGCTGAAGCCACACTTGTGAATCGACGCCAGCCAATCAATGAAACGAACATTTACGTTTTTGGAATTTGATAGGAAGCTGGAGTACATAGAAAACCCAATTCAGCACAATGCAAACCCAGAACAGGGATTTGAACTCCGTACCTACAAATTGTGAGGCAGACACGAACAACACAACCACTGGGTCGCCGTAACAACCAAACCACAGAGCAGCCGTAACCGCAGTCATTTGTTACCATATCACATGACCAGACTTTAATGGCGTCAAAGTACTTTTGTCCACTCTTGGTTTTGTAAGCAATGTTTCACATTCTCTCACTCTTTGCTGCTTTTGATATCGTGAAGACGACGATATTGTGGCCATTTTAATATCGCGGTATTGCCATTATCGTCCCATCTCTTGACCATATAACCCCTCAGAAGGGGTCATCCCCTCAATCAACTACAATTTATATTTGACCACCGTGGTGTTGCTGCAAAGTGAACGAAAGGTGCTCAGGTCACCGGTGTCGTCTTGATGAAACGGTGTGTCGGTCAGCAAGGACTGATGCTGAGGTTTAATGTCCACCGACCCCCTCATTCTTTGCTATTTCAAGAATGACCGTCTGAGAGCCTCATTATATCTCCAAAGAAACATGTATGAATGCAAGAGGTACATATTCAGAGGTACTGTATATATTCAAGCTGGAAGTGTGTGGCTGCCACACACACACGCAGGTGCGCACGCACGCACGCGCACACACACACACACACACACACACACACACACACACACACACACACACACACACACACACACACACACACACGTCTTTTTTCTTTTGCTCAAG